TTAGAGAAAAAAAAAACCCCCACAACCTAAAAACCCACAAACCCTACTCTTAAAAATGTGCCTGTCTTTCAGCAAAAGATACTGTTGCATAAATGTGTCGGGGCAAACTGCCTTTTGCCTTAGAGGCTGGCTTCAATGTGTGCAAGTTTACAAGGGAAAAGATTTTAAAAAAATCCCTAATGCTCAACTAGATGAGTCTTTGAGACAGGCCTGCTGTATGAAATGCTTGAAGGGAAAAAAACCCATGCAGTTGCTATTGATAATAGAAAGAATGGGTCTCTGACCTTAAAATGGAATTAGACCTTCTGGTTTTGAAAGCCTGTCCTTGGAGAGAAAAATAATCTGCAGGTTTGAATAAATGCAGTTGGTAGGATAGGGAAACTAGAATAGCATGGACCTCTTTTGTCAAAGAAAAGAATGGGAAGAATTGCCAAGCCCATATAAACAATAGAGCAAAAAGAGCAATACAGGAAGTCAGCTCTTTCTGAAGAAATGGAGTTGAGTATCTCTACAATTTGTCAATTTACTGTGCTCCAATCATATTTATTCTACTGCTGAAAAGACAGAGAAAGTTAAAGGAGGGGGAGAAGCAGTGGCTCAGGAAAAAAATGAAAATAAATACAGCCCCCAACCCCCCCCAGCTAATATTTGTGGTATGGCACAGCTGACAGTTTCTTTAAATAGGAAAAGAAGGCAGTCTGCCTTAGTGACTATGGTGATCTGTCCCCATATCTGGAATATTCTGTGCACACTTAACCTGCATGAGTCTGACCTCTGTGGGACTATTGTTTCTAGAACAAAACGGCAAAGTTGTGTGTGTAAGCAGAGAGACTAATGAATTCTGACACAGAAGCATAGTGTATGTTGCACACAGGGCAACCTGCCCATGCCTGCTGCATTCCCCACTTCCAGCCCAGTTAGACTGTGCACAGGGGTGTGTGTGGTGGTTCAGATGTGCCCCAGTTCAACTGGATTTGCTGCTTGTTGTGAACAAAATCATGATAGAAGAATGGAAGCCCTACCTCTCTGCATGTATGTGTTCATGTCTGTCTCTCTCTCTTCTCTGTCTCAGCTGCATTTCTGAGTTTGCAGACTGCAGTGGTGTTTTGATGCCTGAAATCCTTCTCAACTGACTTGTTTTGATTTTAACAGCTACTTTTCCTAAGTTTTGCTGATCTCTGTTACTGCATGAGTCACTGGAGTTACTGATAATGGAAATTTAAGGGAAAAATTAATCTGTGCTAAACCATAAGTATCAGTCAAAAAAACCCTTGTAATGTTGAGATAAATCTAGCATTTTAGTAATTTCTTTGACTTTATGAAGGACTGCAGTACAGGGATCTTCGATCCTTTGCTGGTGTTGAAATTGGTTTATTCCATTCCTTGTATTTGAATTCAAATATTATTTTTCTAAACTCTTAAGAATGAGAAGGGCATGGAGGCAGGAGGGAGTTACGGATTTTTCTTAATGTTGCTGAGAATGTGAATGAACTTAGCAGTCAGCTCAGAGTGGTGTGGATTTCGCTGGGGTTTTTTTTGGTGAACTTTGCTCAGCACAAAATGTATCTGTTACAACTGGCTTTCCATAATTGCTGATTTCTTCAGGGATGAGATAGTTTTCAGTTGTATCTTTTTATAATATTGTTTTCTTTAAGAATTTAGAGGACATAGTTACTGAGTGCTGTTCTGACTCTTTGTGAGATCTTAAAAAATTTAAAATACCTCTCCCAATTTATTCCTTTGGTGAACCGAATACTTTCAAAATGGCAAATTGAGCCAGAGCAGAAAATACTTTTAAAAGAATTTTTCATGGCTTGTTTATACACCTGACTTAAAGGATTTAATTCTAACCTTGGAGAAGATGCTTTCCAGTCAAGATTGCACTGCATGATGATTCCCATGAACTGAAAATTCTTGTCTTTAGTATTTCGTGGTGGGGTCTGTTACTAAGCTTTTATGGAAAACTTTTGAAGTATGAACATCTTTAATTGGTGTGTATGGACACCTGTAGGTTTCATTACTGCCATATCTTGTGCTGAAAGATGGCACTGGTCTTGGTAGACCTGGCCAGAAGGCAAATGGACAACAGGAGTAGCCAAGGCAAAAAAATAGGTACAGGCAAGCACATTTCAATTTTTACCTGAAGTCTATAATATGTGGCTCAAATCTTCCTTACCTAGATGTTTTTTAGACATAGTAGAGTTTCATGACACTTTATTCCAAGAATTCTTTCCATTTTTCAATCCAAATACATGGTGTTTTATCTTCTGTATAATGCAGCGTGTAGTTAACAGCTTAGCTGCATATGCTGTAGAAGAGTATTGGCTGTTTATTTTAAATGAGGCTCTGCTGGCCTCACCAGTGCTTACATTGTTGTAGGAAGTAAAACCAAGGAAATGCAGTTTCCTGGTTAAGTGAAGTGAAAAAAATCAAAAACTTGATGTAAGTCTTAGTGTTTTCTTTCTTCAAGGATTCTTCTCTCTCCTCTGGCTTTTATAGAAAGAATGATCACACACTTCTTACATTGGATTGTTCACACTGATTGTCTCTGTAGTTTTCAACTTTTTTCTGTTGCACCTTGTTGAGTAGGGTAGGCAGAGGGAGGCATAGTTGCACATTGCTTCCTCAGTTGATGAATTTTTGCAGTGAGGGGAAAGGGGGAAGCAAAGTAACTATCAAAGAGAGCAAAGCCTGGGAACTCCAACTGAGGGAGATCTTTTTCAGCAAGAAATTTTTTAAGCAATAGATTTCTAGTTGAAGCTATAAGCCATAGTGGGGTGTTGGAGAAGTTAATCTATGACTTCTGTTATTTGAAAAGGTTTCTATATTAAAACGTATTTTTAAAAAATATTTGAAGCAGTTGGAATTTATAGACAAACCCAGGTGTGCCGATTTTTTGGTTTTGGTTTTCTTATTTTGGGTCTTTTTTTTTTTTTTTGGTTACAAGAATAGGGAAGAAAATACCTACTTTTAGATGCAGAGAGGAAAATACAGTTTATTTTTTGAAATGAGTTGGGGAGAAGGACAGAAGGGCTGGATAGGTGATAGCATCAGTCTATTGAAAGAAGTGTTTTCTAGTAACTTTCAATTTTAGGCTGGGTGAATAGCTTTCCTGCATAAAAATAAAACTGTTTAGTCTCCAGTAAGTTTTTATCAGGGTCAGGAAAGTGGTTCAACTTGTTAATAATAAATGGAAGGAAGAAACAAATAATTCATCCTGATAATGCAGATCAGTTAAGAAGAGTTGCAAGTTTTGGCAACTTGAATTATAAACCTGTTATGCTACTGAATTAGTTAAGAAAGAATTTGTTAACTGGAGCTGTAGTTCCAGAATGTAACTTTGCAACATCTATGGCAAGTATGCAGGGTGCGGCAGCTTAAGAAAGATGTGTGCAATGTAGCATTTGGCAGTACAGGCAAGTAGTAGCATTAGGAGACATTGTGTGAGTTTCAAAATGTCTTGGGTCCTTGTTATTCAGATCCCACATACATGCATGGGCAGCTTTAAATTTGTGTTCTAAACTTCTGCTGGTTTTGCTTATTTCTAGAGATTTTCTGTTTCAATAATTTGTAAGCCAAAAAAGGAAACATTGACATTTAAATATCTATTAAATATCTATTAAAAACCTATTTCCTTACTATTTTGCATGACTTCTTTCTCTTAATAACAACAAAGCCAAACAATAAAGGAACAGCCAAACCAAAGTAATTTTCCCAAAAGTTTCTCTAGGGCCCTTGAGGTTGTATGGCAACCCATATTCAGGTGGGATGCTCTTACTTGAGACACCCATGAACACAGTGCAAAGATTTACCTCCTGAAACAAAACACAAGTAAAACAACCGAACAATCCCTTGAAATGTCTTCTCAAGCCTACTGGGAATTGAATGGAAAAAATTTACTATGAAGACAAATTGTTTCAGGCAATAAAATTTTGTCTAGTTTTATGTGTTACAGAACATACAAAGGAGAAAATTATTGATAGTAACATAAAGACCTGCTGTACTGTCTTGATTTTATATTTTGGAAGGGAGCGTTAATCATTCCTTGGCTTTTCTGTTCTTTGACATTTCAGCTGGTAAAGATAAGTTTCTCACTCCACTGAGTTACAGTGCTGCCCTTCAAGCCATGAGAAGATTATATTGGCTGTTAATTTATGAATAGGGATTGTCCATGTAGTATTGCTTCTGCTGTTTGTTATCAGGGTCAGGAGGAAATGAATGAGACTTAAAATAGCTTATTGCTGCAGTATGCCAAAACTTTAATGTCCTTACTTCGTATGAGATTTGTTTCTTATTTCTACAAATGCCAGAACCTATGTGGCTGTTTTCTTCCCTGTAGTTTGTTATGCGTTTCTTGACGTGGGTTTCTTTGTTTTTTTATGCTGCTTGAACAGCTATAACTAATCATTCTGGTAATAGCCCATGGTGTTCTTCTGCATCTTAAACAGATTTTTTTTTTTTTTTCTTCAACCTCAATATTTAGAGTATGTTTCACTGTGGAAGTTTGTAGTCAGAAAACCTCATTAAACATCATTAAGCAGATCAGTACAGCAGGTTGTATCTTGTTTCGTTTCAGTACAAGGATTGTGCTGAAATTTGAAGAATTATATGGGGTTTTTTTTAACCTGTATATAGGTTTTTACTCATTTCAGTCTTCCGTGACGGCATATGGAGTCGGAATACTTACTGCAAAGTGATAAAAATTCTTAAAGTGTGCAGTGGGTTGGGTTTTTTCCTTGTTTTTTTCTGTTTTTTTCCTTTTTTAAGGTATGGTCAGTAAGAAAACAAATTCATTAATTTCTCTTCGTGGATTTTTAATAGTATAGGTAGAATGTGTGATTGTAGAGATAATATACAGGCAAAATCACACTTGTAAAGCTTCATTAAGAAGTGATACATCTTAAAGGATTGCTTATTATGAATTCACTGAAATACTTGTGTATGCTTTGTCTTTCATTGATTTAAAAATTGCCTGAAGCTTCCCTTTTCTGTTATATCAGTTACAAGAAGGGGACATTGAGAATTCTTCCTTGGAATGAGCAGAAACATCGTGAAGAAGACTGGTGTGAAAAAGCAGAATGCAGGTAAGTATATAGAAAAAGCAAAAATTTTTTTCTATATTTATGTACGTTCCAGGTAAAGAATTGACTTACTAATTCTTAAAATGTGGGAAATACCCAGTATATGCAGCGTGATTATGTGAGGAGTAACTTTTGCAAATGTATGTGAGCAGGAGGGGGAGATTACTGCTGGAAATCCTGATTTATTTGTTGCATGTCAGCCATAATGTTATCATAGCATCATTAGTGGATCACAAAACTGCCTTTCACTGTGTGAGGAACAGATATAAAGCAGAAGTTGGGCATACCTGTGTCTTTAGTAGAGAGGATTCTTTCTTTCATGATCTGTCTCATGTTTGGAATCTCTTACTAGTTACTTTGCTGACAAAAATAGATGCTTACTGTGATTGGCATTCGAGTCTCATTATATTATTAGTGTGATAGTACGTTGATTGCATCATTTTTTTTTTTTTTCATTACAACTAGCAGTTTTAGGAAAAAGACTGATGTAAAAAAAGAAAGTGAGAAAATGTATACGTAAACATTTTTTTTCTTTTTTAAAGGAAGATTGTTGAACCGACTTCACAAGATGAGGGTGAATTTCTGTATGAAACACAACCCGAGTTACTGAAGTACAGGACTACTGACCTTTCAGTAGATCTCGTTACTGACTGGTATTTGAGCAGAGCACAGGAAATTGAAAAATACGCGATGCAGGTGAGAAAATCAGCAAAGAAATGATGATGGCTGCCTCAGGCTTATCAGTCGTCTTCAACAGAATCCTGTCTTAACAAGTATTAATGGGATGCTTTTCCCTCACTGTTTCTCAGTCTCCATTGTGGCTTTTGAATTATTTGGCTTTTCATTTTCAGTGTACTTATGCTTGTCCTAAAGTTTGCTCAACCAAATAGTTGATCCATACGAATGAATAGGAAGCCATTAGATTCCCTTTCACTTGACTTATAATAGTAGACAATAGCACTTCGTAGTCCATGAAAAATATTTACCATTACACTTTATTTGCAAATGAGAGAATGTTGTGCACAGGGTATTGGGAGACATGTTTTATTATCTTTCACATGATACTAGGTAATTTATATCGATATGTGGCAGTTGTGTTGCCATGATATGCTATATGTAGCACTATCATGGGACTACCATGCAGCTTATTTCTGCTGTATTTTCTTCGTATTTGAAAGGCGTTTGAAATACTATGTGGTGAAGATAAGCATTGCAAGTAAGACTAGAGCTCGTCACTGATGTGCTCCAGTATTTATTGCTTCTCAAGCCAATTTAGCTGCATGTAAAGGAGGTTGGCTGGAAGTATCACTGTGAGTTAGTTTTGATGGGCAAATTCTTATATTCTTCGAGGCTCTTTAATCATAGTTCCCTGTGATCTTAACAGCCTATCAGTAGGTATGGAAATAAAAGCAACTTCCAGGGACCAGTTAGATTACTAAAATATAAATGAAATTGCATTCTACTCTTCCACATCTGTGTCTGCTTCACAAGGTACATACAGCCAATATTGTGTTCTTTGAATTCGAAACATTTTGTATAAAGGTATTTTCAGTCACCAGGAAAAAGACTGTCATTATCTTCTGTGAAATAAAAGGCAACAATTAAAATTATTAATTCATTGTCAGCTAGGAAAGTCACATTACATTTAGAGCTATTCATAACATCAGTCATTTATCTGGTTGTCTTAGTTTACAGCAATCCTTCATATTTCATGCAGTGAGATAAGGTGATCTATCTCTATGTGTGATATCCAGAAAGAACAGTATTCTCCTAATTTACAAACATCAATAAGATACATGTGGGTCAAAAGCCTATAATGACATTATCCACTAAGATTAAACATTTTATTTGGTCTTTATAAAGCTGAGAAGAGCAATCCATTTAGGAATATACATTCCACAAAACTTCCAGGAACTTGGAACTACCTATCAACAAAAGGAACAAGGGAAAAAAAAATAGACACACAAACAGGAGACAGACTGGACTTCGGTTTTCTTTCTTTGGTGAACAGTTGTAGAGCAGGTTTTTTTTTTTTATTATTATTCAGGTGGACTGCGCTCTGTCCCTTGTTCGTCTTGGCATGGAGAGGAATATTCCTGGTCTGCAGGTGCTTTGTGACAATCTGATCACCCTTGAGACAGTGGTTTATGAGACTGATGGTGATCGAACCTTAACTTTGAAGGAACTTGCAGAGATGAAAGACATTGAAAAGCTGAGACTGTTGATGAAGAATGTAAGTATTTTGAATAAATTGGTATATCTTATTTTCCAGTAATTAGGATTACCCCGGATCCTGTGTATATAAAGGTACTGTTAGTGGCTGACAGTTTTCTGATGAAAAATCTTTAATTCAGCAAGAATGCAACACTTCTGCTGTTCCTTTTTTGTTGTGATATTTGTTTGTTTGTTTTTCTTTGTTCATTTGTTTTAACAAAAGCCAAAATGGCTCAGTTTTCTCAAAATCCTGTTTCTTAGTCCTAGGCACAGGATGAAATATTAATAAAACCAGTCTTCTGAAAGCTGTGAATTGCTTTTTCATTGACCCTTTCTAAAGGATCTTCAGCGTAGCTGCTGATGATGCTGCAGGTGCAGTAACATTGACTGTTTGCCTTGGATTTTTTTTGGTTTCTTTAAATATTGACAGAAATCTTAGCATTTGCCTCTGTAGCATATGTATGGTTTTCTTCTTCTCTGTGTTCAGCCTGTGCATGGCATTTCAGAATAGAAAAAGACCTCTTGGAAAAGCTGAAAAATGCCTAGAAACTGAACAGGGGTCTGAAATTCATTTGAGGAATGAGTAAGCACCAGAGGAGAATACTCAGAATTTTCTAAATTTTGCTAGGATGTAAGTAAGCACTTACCAGTTGTCTTCCATTCTGGCCTACTGAAAGTAATGCTACTCTGACATGAATGCAAGCCAATCTTTGACTCATTCTGCAGGAGGAAGATGGCTATGCTTTCCTCACATAATGAGCTTTACTCCTTACTTTACTGCTTGGTTTCCCCAAGCCACTGTGTAGGAGAAGGGCAATGGATTGTTTCAGTGCTTCATGATTTAGTGATGTGTGCAACAGTGGTAAATGTCAGGCTTCGGCTGTTGTTTGTGACAGGTGAAGATACTGTTTCAATTATATTGATGTAAATACATTCTGTTTGGTTTTTGGTGTTTGTTTTCAGCAGTGAAGCTGAACTTGTTCTTTTTTTTTCTCCTCTCTGTAACTCACTGTGCTTTCTAGTCTTCTAATGAAAAATATGTGAAGAATGTTTATCAGTGGATGATCCCTTTTCTCCACCGTTGTGAAAATCAGTCCCCTGGTCTTGCAAATTCACTTTTTAAAGAATATTTAGTAACATTAGCAAAGGAAGACCTGACTCTACCTCTGAAGATATTTCAGAATTCAAAACCTGCTGTAAGTATAGAGCTCTCATGATTCTACTGGTTTCTTTAGAGATTCTTGTCCTGAAGAGGTGAATTCATAAACAGGGTTGGTTCATCTTCTACGTGAGATTTGTCTCTGGTCTTTTCCTTTTCTTGTACCCAGGATTTGTTATGTTTTAAAATGTGTTATAGTATAAGTTACAATGCAGCTGAACTGTCTTTGGTGAGATTGTCAAACTAATGTAATTGTGATCTTGAACTAGTAAAAGAAAAATTATTGTGAAGATTCTTCTTTGAAGTAATTTTCTGGTGACATGTTTAAAGTAAATTCCTAGCATACTTGCTTTTTAAAAAATGGAAGTTTCATGATCTCACTAATACTTTTTTCATAAGGAATTTTGCTAGCAGGAAATTTAAAGTTATTTCCTTTTTCTCCGTTCCCCAGCAAATGTAAAGAATAAAATGAGGGCCAAGAGTTCCATGAGTAAGGGTTGAAGTTACCTTCTATATTGAGTATTTCATGCTTCTTCTACAGTTTAAATAATTATTCCACAGCACATAAGCACAGTTTTGCATACTTTCTAGATACGTTCTAAGTGTATGGACAGAAATCAACCAGTGAAGCAAAAAACCACAGTTATTTTATGTATATTGATATTGTTACATGTATTAAATAAATCTGACAAATGTTTGCAGCAGTTGCTGCCTTCTTGTCCTGCACCTTCTCCACTTTTCAAATTCAAAAAGTGTATAATGTGTATAATAGTGTACCACTGTTATTTCAGTGTCTACAGTGTAGAAAACTGGCTGAGTTATGTTTCAGGTTCTACCTTCAGCAGATACTTCACTAAGAGTTAGCAAGAAACAGTTTAATTACAACTAGAGATAATTTATTTGCTTGGAGTTCACATCTTTGTAAATTCAGAATAAACTGTTGAACTAGAAAGAGAAAATTAAAAATAATGTGCTTCCTTTTCCTGTTAGTGTCAGCAAAAAATTATTCCTGATCAAGATCAGCTTATGATTACAGCATTGGAATGTATTTATAGTTGTGAACGAGATGACCAGCTCGCTCTTTGTTACGATATTTTGGAGTGCCTTCCACAAAGAGGATATGGGTAAACATTTTCAGCTAGTTATTTCTAAATATTTTGGATATGCTAAATATAGTTCTGAATTAATACTTTAAAAATAGTTTTAAAGTCACTAAAGGGTAGATAATGTTGCTGGAATATTCTGTTCCTGTCTGTTGCCGTGGTCATCTATGTGTATTTGTGCTTGTGCTGTGTATGTGCGCTACCAGATAGTGCAACAAAACACGATTACATGATTTAAAGTAGCAGACTAGACCGGGGCTTTTGTATTAGTTTCTTAGACTTCTGTTGCCTGGTGAGTTGCAATCAAGTGTTAGTGCTGTCTTACTGGTCTTGTTGGCCCTGTTACAGTTACTGTCATCTTGTAGTTGGCTTATAAACAGCAATATGGCCCTGTGAGAGAGGTCTCTGTATAGATGATCTATATGAAAGGTGAGTAATTCTTGAGAAATTGAAAGCATGAGGAGGAGATTAAACTACTCTCCCAGTACCTTTTATACCTAGGAAGTAGAGAGCCTGAGAAAAGTAAGGAAGAAGGAAAAGCTGTGTTCTTGGGAGACTGAGGGACCCTCTCAATTTTATCTGTACTTGTAATAGGAAGCAAACAGTTTTAATCTTTTCAAGCAAACATATATTCAATTTTCATAAAAGAATGTTTCAAGCAGCTTATCTTTATGTAATATGAATTATGTGAAGAAATTACAAGATGTATGGATATAAATATATAAAAAAAATAATTAATTCTACAATATCTTTGCAGGCCTGAAACGGATAAAACTGACACTCTTCACGATGATGTAGATGAACTGGAGCGAATTCTTAGGTATTTAATTTTGCTAAAATTAATAATATATTGTTACAGAAGTCACCAGGCATACTCAAAAAATTTTTTATGACAGGAAAGCAGCAAGAATATTTGTTACGTTTTTAGTGCTATCAGCAAGATAATCTGAAAGTTTTTGTATTCAGAACTTAGAAATTTTGCATGGCTTTAGCTATTTGAATATTATAAAACTGCACAGATATGTTTTTTAGAATAAAATTGAGGGGTTTTGTGTTTTGTTTGTTTGTTTCTTTTGGGTTATTTTTTAGGGAGAAGAAGGTTGACCAGGGAACTTTTTTTGATCTTGATACTCTAATGCTTTGAGTGATCAAAACCTGAAAGCTGTGAAGATATTTCATCAGGTTATTGGTGATATGCATTTACTCTATAGTATTAATTTTTTTCAGTAAATGATGTTACTCTGGCTAGTCTGTACTATTACAGACTTACAGACTGTTTGCATTTGCAGTACATTGTCTGAGACAGCTTTAAGATGGCTGCAGCAGTGATTGGTAGTTGTACAACTGTGCAGGATTCAAAAATGTTGACTATTCATTTACAGTGTGTCAGAGCTGTTGGAGAAACATGGACTTCAGAAACCTGTTTCCTTTGTGAAAGACACAAAGAACAATGTGAAGGAGGCACGGAAGCTGATGATTAGGCTGACAAGGCACACAGGTCGCAAGTTAGTATTCAAAGGCAAATGGGAGTTAAGGGGGAAAGGGCAGTAAGGTAACAGTACTTAACCTCAGAGGGTGTACCTGTCTGTTGCAGTAGGGAACCATTGTGTTCAAACTGAACATGGTGTACATAGGACACATCTGTTTAAACTGATGATTAACATGTTTTGGCCATCCAAAAATCTGTGTCTTGCTTCAGACTTGTTTCAGTAAGTTTGTGTTTAAGTAAACAAGCCTAAAAGGCATACTGGCTGCAAAATACTGCAAGGTGATCAACAGTAAAAGTTAAGATAGATGACCTTTGAAGGTCCCTTCCAACCCAATATATTCTATGATTCTATTAAAAGAGGTCCTTTAAAGACCTGTTTAATTTTATTGAGAGTGTAAGGTTTGTAAAATAGTGCTTTCTTTTTTTATTTTTATTTTTTTTGGTGTGTTTTCTTAGGAGCTCTTATAATAGGGTAATTTATTGATTTTATGTATTGATTCTACCACTTACATTTCCAGTATAACTTTTCAATTTTTCTGTTAAGCAACTGTTCTGCTTAACTTGCCTTCCAACTGTAGATGAATTATTACACGACTCTTAGCATAAGCAGATACAAAGATTGAACCCTGGGAAAACCAGCCATCCCTGTGTGTGGTGGTTTTTTGGTTCTTTTTTTCTTTTTTTCTTGTTTGAAGTAAACATGCACAACAGTTTGTTGGTGATGGTAGAGTAGCATTTTTTTAAAGAAAGATCAAGTCAATGCCTCTGTATGAAAAATGTTGATTATTCACTTTTTGTAGAGACAGTTTGCTTTGCTGAAGTGAAAGCTAATGCCACATGAGAAAATCACTATTAGCTGGACTGGCTTTTGTAGCTTAAAAAACCTCTGTGCTTGAAATCTCAAAGGCTCAAGATGATGTCAAAAAACTTTCCTAGTGTTTTTACTAGTAAAAATTTTTATGGAGTACATTAAGTTGTATAGAAAGCATTGTGAGTAAACAGAGATCCGTAGACCCAGAGAGTCAAGAATCTGAATACCATTCCACTTAAAGAGCATAATAAATTTGCATATCCATTCTCCTGTGATTGCATGCAATTGATTAGTCATTTGAGATTGCCTGCAGTGAACAGCACTTTAATGATCTTTGGTTGCTGCTACAAATTTGTTTTTACCCAGATGTTCTTGGATCAGCCAGAAGATAGCACTTGCAACTTTCTGAGCTATTACTGGAAATTATTAAAACCTACTTGGGGGATCTTGATCAAGATTGCTTAAATCCCCATCTTGTTACACAAAAGACTATCAGAAAAAGCACCTTGGTTACTGCATTTTTGTCATCAAATAATGTTAACCCACAGACACTGTTTTAACAAATATTATTATTAAAAGCATTCTGTCTTTAAGTCACTTTTGGTTAAAAGTCCAATTAAAGATTGAGAAAACTCGTTTGAGAAAACTCGTATTTTTTGTGATGGAACAATAGTGTTCCCTACTGCTTTTCTTTAAATTCATTGAGGAAGAGAATATTTAATTTTTAAAATGCTTGCAGGCAACCATCAGTCAGTGAGACACACTGGAAGGAATTGCTCCAGGATATGTTAGACATGCAGCAGAAAGTGTATACATGTTTACATTCAGATTCTTGCTATGAGGTGAGTTTTATGTTTTCTTACCAATTTATGTCCCAAGCAAGCTACAAATTCTCATTTCATATTGTTGTTCACAAATGTAAATACATTTTCATGTGTTATGTTGCTTGGTTTTCTACTGGCTCTTTGAAGATACTTTCATTCAAATCAGAAACTTCAGTGTTAATTCATTTCATCAAAAGCTCCTCTGATAGATAAGCTCTGTATCTTTTACTACAGTTCAACTTTTTTTAAATTGAGTCAGCTTCTTGAGACTTCATAATTCTATGTACAAATGTGTTCAGTAATAGACACTTAAAAATAATGAAAATAAACAATTTTTTTGCTAAATGTTATCTTCAGTTGAGTAGTTCTTAAACACAAAATTCTAGTTTGATAATATTATCCAAGGTCCTTATAGGATTATGGACTTCCTACTGCTTGCAGCTGAAGTAAAATAATGTGAGATACCTAATTTCATTGAAGGAAAAAAATAAAATCCTGCGTGTGCATAAACCCCAAACCTGTGTCATTAATACTTGCAAAAGACAGCTATTAAACTGATCTAGATGTGTCATTTGCTATGACATGTATTGTTTATCTACATTTTCACTTTAATATACTTCAGTTCATTACAGAAACACTGCTGTATCCAGGAGAAGCAGTGTTTAAATAGTTAAAAGTTTTAGAGTGTTTTATTACAGTTTGCACATTTAATGGCTTATGGTTACCAATCTGATTAGCTCTTGGGAGAAGTTCTGAAAGCAAATTAGAAAAAAAAAAAACGAAGGAGAAAAAGTAATGCTATCCAATCTACACATAAAGAGAGTCACTCTCTCTCCGTAGTTGTACAGTTTGAAGTTGCTTAAAGAAAACTGCAGTTTATTGAATGTTCATGGCTATGGCTTAGTGTACTTGGTGTATTTTTTTAAGTACATCTAAAAAACTTGTAGTAGAGCAGTCAGAAAATAATAGTGTTTGCTTTGCTCTTATTTTTTTTCTTAATATTGTTTTCTAACCTCTTTACCACTTGATTAAAGAAACCCAAAACCAACCCACAACAAAGGAGGAATGGTCTAGGAATGCTTTGAAATGTAGTGCTGTTGTACACAATTATACTTTGATAACCTCAAAATTGGGAAATTGATGAGGCAGTAAGGATTTACAGTCACGTGTGAGGTTTGTGTCAGGATTTTTTTTAGCATGATGCGTACTCAAGTCTGCTTGCATGCAAAGCGATTCCTGTCGTCTTGGAGAAGTGCTTCATGTCCATAAATTTTGAGAAGGGTAAATTGTATGTATGTGGTCTTTAAGGAAGAAGGATCAGCTATCATGCTTTGCATCTTTCAGTGTTCCTTGAGGATTAATATATTGTGAAAGTGGAGATGATATGACTATATGATTCTGGGGTTTTTTTTTTCTCTTTTTTTTTTTTTCTTTTTTCTTTTTTTTAAGAAGCACTGTGAACTGTGTTCCTTTCCAGTGCATGAGATGATTTGGAGAGGTTCTTCCTTGTGAAGAAATACTTTAATTTCAAGAGTTGATTGAATAGGGTGGCATAGATTATCTCATCTATGCCTTCTTTCCCAAAAGAAGTTGGACCAGATGATCTAGAGGTCCCTTCCAACCTGGGCTTTTCTATGATTCATTGATCCTTTTTCATTTGTTATGAAATTTAAAACCTTTACTAAAGGCCATGTTGTTGCAGCTGCAGTGTTTCCTGATGTGATTAAATGCATATGTTGTTCTTCAGTGGGACAATACTGATCGTGGTAAAATAAAACAGAATTAGAAAAAACAAAACCAAAAAAACCCAAACCCCCTACCCCCCCAAACCACCAAAAACCCAACAAAATTTGTAAGGAATAGAGATAATTTTCAGTGTCTAAAAGCGGGCAAAATAACAGGTGTTTAGTGGCAGATACAGCATTATATTAGTATGCATTCTCTGAAGATAGTCTTGACTGAAACTTAAAGAACATCTTACATGCTCAGTTCTGAATATTTTTAGTTCTTCAGGGATACAAAATTTTTTCTCTCATATATTGTTGGTTTTACAGTGCTAATACTGAACTGCCTTTTCAGATTCTTACATCCTATTAACACTTCAGAATATAGGTATAAATAATTTCTGATCTCAAAGTCATACTGTAAAAAGGCAGCTAATAAGCTTCTTTCTTCAGGAAGTGGAAGTAACCAGCTGCTAGTTAATTTCAGCTTTGCTGAAAGAAATAGTGGAAATACTCTCTTTGTAGAAGTTACATTTTCTTCTTGGACTGTATATATTCTTTTGACTTCAAAGATCCTTTTTATTCAAAGGGATTGGTTCTGTATAATGCAGTAAGTTTATCTGAAGCTGCTGCTGCAGATTACTGAATTATTGTTCTTTCTTTTAGATATTCACGGAAAGTCTTTTATGCTCAAGCAGTATAGACAATATCCACTTGGCTGGTCAGATGATGCATTGCAGTATTTGGTCAGTGGATCTACCAAGTTCATCGAAAGGGAAGCCACAGTATCGAGTCAGCTATGCAAAAAGTATTGAACTAGTTTTGGCTGCTAGCAGAGAATATTTCAATTCTTCAACAAGTTTGACTGATAGCTGTATGGATTTGGCAAGGTATATTTACAATTATCATATGTTAATATATATTGCTCTTTTAATTGAAACTTGAATTTTGTTTTCCCTGTAAGAAGAGGTGAATCTTACCTGGGTTTATTTCTCTTTGTGTAAAATTATGTGGTAAATGAAAAGACTGTCTTTGGCTTCTGTAGGATTTTTTTGAATGATCTGTTAGAGAATTCAGGTTAAAGAAGAAGAAACATGTAAGTCTTTCTTCAAGGATAAGAAGCTTTTTGTGTGTGGCATTTGAACCTTTTCCACTTTACAGCATTGAACCACAATTGTGGCCGCAGTTACTATAACAATAGAAAATAGTGTTTTGCTGAGTCTTTAATGTCTTTCCTTACTTTGGTCTTTCCTGATTCTGAGAGTTCATTTGAGGCTGTCTGGCTCTCTTTTGTTACATTAAGAGATAAGCCAAATAATTCTTGAGAAAGGAATTCAGGCATAGAGCAGCCTTGGAGATTGTGGTATGGATATTCATTCTTGTGTAGATTTAGGTATAGAAGTATTTTCTTTAACAATTTAAATGCAGATAGGTAAAATAATGGGGTTTTATCTATGTAGAATATAGGTGCCTTGGCTTACCTTAAATATTTAAAATAAAGGCATGTCTTAATATTTCCAGCCTTTCTCTTCTATTCTAAGAATTTGTTGTTTCACTGGTATTGTTTTGTTAATAAAAATAACTTTTCCTTTTTCCTTACGACATAACTCCTCCCTCCCCTGCAAACAAATACCACAAACCAAACTATAAAAAAAACCGCAACAAAATCGCAGAACCAAACAAAAATACCTGTGTGTGAACTACAAAGGAAGACACATCTTTATAAAGTACTGCTGTCGCTTAGACATGAGTATACTTACCTCCTAATTACAGGAAAAAAGATTATTTTCTTTTCCCTCAAGATGCAAATTCATCTTGACCCCTAGTGGTATGTACATATATGTTCACTTTTTTTTTTTTGAGTACTGACTACAGTAATACAGTCAAACCGTTTGTAATAAATTAGTCTTTCTGAAAGTAAGACGTTTTTGTCAATAAAATATTGTTACTGTGAAGTTCTGTGGATTGAAAAATTATATATTTTACATTAGGGATTAAAGGAAGAACATTTTTGCAACTTGTCTTGAGCGACAGTTATATTCTCCATAACTTAACTAGAAAATTACTGAAAAAGTGTTGTTTTCTTCTCCCTAATCACTTTAAACTTGTTCCTCTCTTCCATCCCAAATGCACACAGCCTGCTCTGGTTGAAGATGTCCATGCTCATTGCAGGAGACAGTTGGACTAGATGACCTTTAAACCTTCCAACCCAAATCCTTCCAACCCAAACTATTCTATGATTCTATTATTCTGTAATCACTATGAAAAACTGATTTTATGTCATCATAAAATTAGTGTCTATTTACTTTTCCTTATCTCCAGGCTTATATGGAGAATCTTTTCCACTAGCAGGCTCTGGAAATATAAAAGTATCATTGTTTCTAATATATCATAAGGGTCAACTTTTATCTTACGTTTTTATGGTGATACTTGAAAATATGCAGATGATAGCTTGAATACTTGCTAAAAATGTTCACTCTGTGTTTATTCTTTTTATTAAGGTGTTTTGCTCCTTCCCTTAGTTTTCTTGAATCATTTGTTTCATGTTAACCCATTTCCATGACTGATTATCACAGTGTGTAGGTCTCCTAGTAGCCTTCCTGTTTGAGTTGGTTTAGGCAGAACATACTTACCTTCTCTTTAGCTAGTTTTCTTTCCTTTGACTCCTGTTTTAGTCTATACCCTGAAATGTTTGTCAGTGCTCCTAAAAAATCATAGAATAGTTAAGGTTGGAAAGG